GCAATTCGTGTCGGCGGCATTGAGCAATATGGAATATATAGAGCAATTAACAAACAATGTTGTCGAAACAATTTCCGCACTTTATTGAAATTGTTACAGATTGCTCCATTAATTGATCAACAAAAGTTTGTCACATACTGTGATTATAAAAACTTAGATGTTCATGATGGTCTTACGCTCCATTCCTTGGCGTCACATATATATTGTACAAAGTACGACGAAAAAGTAAGATTATTGACTGACTATGTTACATTATTGTTCGACATTCATGGTCCTAAAATTAACAGGCCGCCAGCTCGCTGGCTTACAGATAATCTTAAACTGATTTTCAAGGAGAGGTACAGGTCATTACACACTTACAAGTTGAATCGAACCGAAGAACATCTTAGGCACTGCAAAGAGATGAGGAACTTTGCATTGATCGCAATGAGAACAGAAAAACGTGCATATCTTAACTATTTGCATTCTCAGAGAAATAATAGGCAATTTTGGAAAACTCTAAAAAACATGAATATAAATAATTCCTCTTCCTTTTCACTTCCGCCATCCTTAAACGATCTTAACAGGTCCTTCATGTCTGCATATACTGAAAATACTGAATCTAATGCTCTTATCACCAGACATTACTCCAGCAAAATGAGTGATTCCAGCTTCACATTCAGCTTTGTTGACCAAAGTGTTGTACTGGAGCATATATCGAAGATAAGATCAAATGCATGTGGTCCTGACGGCATAAGCTTGTGTATGCTCAAGCTTTGTATATCAGAGTTATTAAATCCATTGACACACATTATAAACAGTTGCTTAGAGATAGGATATTCCCCTCGACGACTTTGGAGAGAGGCCCTTTACCTAAGATCGCTGCTCCATCTGAGCTTGCTCATTTGAGACCTATTAGTTTACTATGCATTCCATCCAAACTGTTAGAAAAAATAATTAATGTACAGCTAAATCAGTATTCAATAGATCAAAACATTCTCCCTAAGCACCAGTCGGGTTTTAGGGGAGTGCATAATACAACCACTGCTCTTTTAAATCTTAATCATGAAATTATACGGTCGCTAGATAAGAGGCTGGCCACTCTACTTATATCCTTGGATCTTTCAAAAGCCTTTGACACCATTGACTATTCACTTATGTGCACAAAACTGTATCATTATGGGCTTGACCATACACCGTTGAACTTATTTTGCAATTACGTAAGTCTTCGTAAGCAAATCGTTATTCTACATAACAAAAGATCTGAGATAACAACAACAGCATCAGAAGTTCCTCAAGGTTCTGTTTTAGGACCGTTGTTATTCATTATATATACAGCTGATATCTTGAAATCCGTACAGTACTCACACATTCAACCTTATGCGGATGACACGCAGCTTCTGTTTCATTTTGAACAATCTCTTGTGGAACAGGCAAATGGTTTAATCAACACTGACTTACGAACCGTATCTGACAATTGAAAAGAACACAATTTGAAACAAAATCCTGATAAAACGAAACTTGTGCTTTTCTGTTCTGATCACAAGCGAGAAAACTTGAGCAGTGGTCTGACCGACCCTCTTCTGGAATGAACAACAACTTTATTTTTCAACTAGCTGTAAGATACTTGGTTTGATCATAGATGACAAGTTACATTACCAACAATACATTAAAACAATATCTCAGAGAAGTTATTTGAAACTGCGAGTACTGTATGCCTATAAGTACATTATTAACTTCAAGACGAGGAAAAAGCTGGCTGAAAGTTTAGTGCTATCAATTATGGTTTGATAGTTTTTTATCCATGCCTGGACTATTCGACTCAAATGCGCCTACAGAGATTGTAGAATAACTGTTACCGTTTTGTCTGTACCTTACGTAAATTTGACCATCTAATAGTTTCAGGCTTTTACAATGGCTTAATATCAATTCTCTGTTCAAATATTTTTACCTAACAACATTGAATTGTGTATTATATTCTAAGAATCCTGTATATTTAGTATAAAAGCTGGTCCCTAGGTCAAGTATACATAATGTCAATATAAGACATCAACACCATTTTACAATGCCTATGTATGTATCATCACTCTTTTATAGATCTTTCACGTATAATGCAGTATCTCTCTTTAACATCTATAGCAGGAATATTGATATATCAAATACTAATAACATCCGTTTCAAACTGCATCTCAGACAACATCTTCTAGGAATTCAGCATAGGATCAATGAATAAATGCCCTGTGATCAATTACCATTGTGTTCTTTTAGTTAGATTCATAGACATACAATCGTTGACTGTATATGTAAAATACCATATTTGTATGTCAAATTGGCTTTAGTCTTTAGAAAGATTGTGTGTAAGAATAGCTGTGCTAAACCTTGCCAATAAAGCCGTTTATTATTATTATTATGTTGTCGAGCAATAATTGCTCAGAAAATTGCCCGTGTAAGTGCACCTTTAGATTCGCCGTTTAATCTTAAGGGTAAAAAAAGGACCAATTAAAATGTCACCAACAATACCCATCCACACATATAGAGAAAATTGTTCCTGGTGGCGACATTGTACGTAAGCATGAGAATTTTCGTCACTTCATACGTCCGTAAAAAGTATGGTTTTATTAAAATTCCTATTGATATTAACCTTTTGGTAATACCATTGGCAAAACTGTAAACGAGGTAGAAAATCTCTTGGTAATAATGCTTGCACGCGTTGGACTTGATAGGGACACAAAAGTTGCTCGGAGACAACCTGCCACACAGTGCTGTTGGAATGATTACCTCCTAATCTAGTAGCTATAGTCCTAGTACTGATACCAGAACTTGTTACAAGGTACATGAAAATGCCTCATCAAATTCAGGCGTTCTTACGGACCTCGGCCGTCTTCTATCATTGCAAATGGCAAAACTTCCTAAATAACATCATTGTCAAAAATGAAAAAGAAATAAGAAAATTTACCTCTTTCCAGTAATCTACGGTCTACGCTTTCAAAGCGTCGATGTTGCTATGGGGAAATGCTTCTGCATACAGGCGCCTCGTTGCATAACAGTTACTATAAGCAGTTGTTAGAGAAATTTCGCGGAGAAAATTACGTGAATTAATTCTTTACTAGAAGAACATTCGCGCAAATGTCAAACCTCCATGCAGAAATGATTTTTTGTTTTCCAAGACACTTGTTTGTTTAGCAAAAATTAATAAACCAATTTTGACCAGTGACATGCAATAAAACTGTTTTTTGTCTCAAAAACTAAGTGAGATACGAAAAAATGCAAGAAGCAAAGAAGTTGTATTTTTAGATGTAATCAAACAACAAATAATAAAGTGGCAGTGGCGTACCTTTTTTTGGTAATAATATTCGCAAAGGTGCCCCCAATATGCCACTGGACTAATGCAACAAATAATGTTGCTAAATTTCAACAGAATCGAGTGAATATTTTTTAAGATATCAATATTTTTTTTAAATTAATAACCCTGCTTCTTGAAAACTCTGCATTTCCGGACCCATGTTACAAACTTTTTTCATATTTTTTACCAAGGAATCACCCTCTAAAATATCTCCATGCAGAAATGATTTTTTGTTTTCCAAGACACTTGTTTTTTTAGCAAAAATTAATAAACCAATTTTGACCAGTGACATGCAATAAAACTGTTTTTTGTCTCAAAAACTAAGTGAGATACGAAAAAATGCAAGAAGCAAAGAAGTTGTATTTTTAGATGTAATCAAACAACAAATAATAAAGTGGCAGTGGCGTACCTTTTTTTGGTAATTATATTCGCAAAGGTGCCCCCAATATGCCACTGGACTAATGCAACAAATAATATTGCCAAATTTCAACAGAATTGAGTGAATATTTTTTAAGATATTAATATTTTTTTTAAATTAATAACCGTGCATCTTGAAAACTCTGCATTTCCGGACCCATGTTAGAAACTTTTTTCATATTTTTTATCAAGGAATCACCCTCTAAAATATCTCCATGCAGAAATGATTTTTTGCTTTCCAAGACACTTGTTTTTTTAGCAAAAATTAATAAACCAATTTTGACCAGTGACATGCAATAAAACTGTTTTTTGTCTCAAAAACTAAGTGAGATACGAAAAAATGCAAGAAGCAAAGAAGTTGTATTTTTAGATGTAATCAAACAACAAATAATAAAATGGCAGTGGCGTACCTTTTTTTGGTAATTATATTCGCAAAGGTGCCCCCAATATGCCACTGGACTAATGCAACAAATAATATTGCCAAATTTCAACAGAATCGAGTGAATATTTTTTAAGATATTAATATTTTTTTTAAATTAATAACCCTGCATCTTGAAAACTCTGCATTTCCGGACCCATGTTAGAAACTTTTTTCATATTTTTTACCAAGGAATCACCCTCTAAAATATCTCCGTCTATTTTTCCAACACCCTGCATAAAAAATCAAAATATTTCTGGCAAGAATTTGTTGGCAGCACTGTCTTTTGCCAGATAATGCAAACTTTGAAGAAATCCATCTGAATAAATTCGTGAAGAAAGTATTGATGTAAATTGGGTATTAAAAAGAACCTGCATTTCTACTTTACTCAATTTTTGAATTTTTAACATTCAACATCTCAATTAATTTTTAAACTATTTTAAAGTGATTTGTTTTTATGCTTTTATATATTCATTTAGGCTTTCTTCCTTTGAATTGTTTGATCAAATTTTAAATCAAAATATTATTTAACCTCAATGTCAACAAGTCATATAAACTTTTCTAATGAATGAACAGTATTATTAATATTATTATTATTACTAATCCAGTTGGTATAGCAATAATGTCGGCCTTTACAGTGCGCTCAGCATTTGGTCATTGCAGTAGAGGAACGTTATTCACCTGATAAATCAATGTTAACGCGGCACTAAACACGCGACGGTTCTACCCTTTGCATAACCTGTCATTAATTTAATGTTTAGCTGAATGGGATCAATGTCATCAATGTACCCAAATCTGTAAAATTCAAGGTAGCAAATTCGTATCTCTGCATAGACCACTTACCCTTTTTCTCACATTGATCTACAGCCATTCTAGCTAAATCTACAGCTTTTTGAATCAACTTATAGCTCTCCTCTTTGGATATATTAAGATACTGCATAAAGCCTTCAATACTTGCTTGGTAAGTATTAGTTTCAATAATATCTACACCCACTGCAAATTGAAGATTGTACATAAACAAAAAAATCAAGAATCATAAATTGTCAGCCATTAAAGATGGGTACATGTATATCAGTGTAAAAGGCATTTAAACTCATATCCAATAGCCGAATCCAATATCCAAAAAAAGTTTTTCCCTATAAAACTTAGATAATATCAAAATAACTAGTGATTTGATAAAAAATTGCATGTGAGAAGAATTTCAACTAAATGGTATTAATAGTATTCATAAGCACAATCATGCTTCTAAGGAATTTTTAACAAGGGGCCAAGACAAATATGTATTCCTTGAGGACGTAAATATAGCACACAAAATATCTTGTACAAGTTGTATGCTGTATTATGTATTCATTTTAACTAAAATACTTATCACACTATGCTGGAACAATGAAGATTTGTTAAATAATATTATCAGCAGACCTTACCATTTATTTTCTTACAAACAAAACGGGAGTGGTTTCAGTTAGATACTTCTAATAATTGTATAAGCCATATTTATTTGTTCAAAAGATCAAGAGTACCTAATAGAAACTGATAATGTTGATTTAAATTTCTTAATTTTTATAACTATGTTTTGGAAAACAAATTGAAGTAATTAAATTTTAAATAAAAACAAAAAGTAATAATCAAAGCTACTCATAAAACTTATGTCCTTACATTCAAAAAAACCTAAGAATTATCTAAATCTACAGTTTGGAAATTAGTAGATATTGATGAGTTGTTTTCTTGTAAAGGTTATACAAATGCAATTTGATCTCATCAAAGTATATTATTTCTCTATGCAAATGCATCAATGACTGCAGAAAATGAATGGGCACCTGCAGGAATTTTTCTCAGATAGGCAAATCCATGGCCAGAGATAACTTGGCAAAAGTATACCTGCTCCAAAAACTTTTTGAAGAGTGGGGTGTAGCAAATTTTCCCTTGAGGATGGAGGATGGTGGTGATGGTTAACAACCCCTCCTTGCCTCCCCCTAAGGGCACTCAAGAGAAAGTAATAAAAGCAGTTAGTGGATGTGTAACAGAATAAAGGTAGTCACCATGTATATAATCCATATGTGTTTTTATAACTGCTTCCGGGTCAGTAATAAGTGCTCTTGAACTCCATAATGGATCATGGTCTACAGGTTTCTCTAGATGTTTATTCAGTTGGAAACCATATGAACCATCTAAAAGCTTGATTTTGTTGTCATCCATCTTTTTTCTTATAATGAAGATGTTATAGGAACTAGAAATTTAAAACAAGTATATTATTACAAAATAATTCTGTAGACTCAAGCCAGGAAGCAATATGTAGAAACAGGCACTTTAGTATTACCCAAGAATATTATTTAGTATACATTTCAAAATATTTGATGATTAGTAAGTGCTAGATTAATGAAAAGTCAATATGAAATAACTGTTTTTAAAAAATGCAAATTTAACCTTCGTTAATATTTGAAACTGTCTTATTATATCTTTATGGCTTTTGTATTTGAAACTTTGAAAAATAGTAAATACAGCTTTTAACTTCGGCATAAAAAACGTAACCTATTAAATTCACGAAACGGCAAGATAAATAACAGATGACAGGCTGTGACAGGATACACTAGGCACAGACACATGCACGAGGAGAGATAACGGCAGGGAGGTGAAAAATCTGAGGATCTCCACCTACCGTTAATTTGCCAAGATCTTCATCCTCATCCCATACCCCATATGGGACGTCACCCGGAGAGTTATCGGCGTGGTTACCAACGGCAGGATTGTCGTAACGTTGCTGCAGTTCACGTGTATCGTGGTTAATACTATATAGTGCGATTTGTCGATGTTTTTTGCTTGGTTTGTGACCTGTTCTATTAGTTATACATACTTTATATAGCCTGTTAAAAATGCGGTGTGCTGTTGTGGGATGTAATTCCGACAACCAGTCTAAACGGAATCCTTACAAAGATATGAAGTTCTACAGATTTCCTCAAGACTCAAACCTTAGCAAAAAATGGCTACATCTTACAAAAAGAAAAGATAAAGTCAATGTAAAAAGCGCTAGGGTTTGCTCGAAGCATTTTTGTGAAAGTGCCTATAAGGTCAATTTAAAACATACCTTTTTGGGTTACACCCCTAAAAGTTACCGTGCTCTAAAAGATGATGCCATTCCTATGGAAAATTTACCCAAGTCTCTATCATCACCTGGACCATCTACATCTGTGAATGGGGAAAAGCGGAAAAGTGCCCAACTTTCCCCTAGAGTTTAAGTATAGAAAAAGGTCATATATTTTGGGGCGAACCGTAAAAAGCTAAAAAGTATCAGCTAGTCAGGAAGTTTTAGTGGAAGAAATGGATGAGCTCGATGGGCTGAAACATTTGGCCGGCTTTGTTTGCCATAAATTGCAGGATGAGATGTTGAAAAGTTCCTCAAATGAAACTTACTCCTGGATAGACAATCTTAGTGAGAGTGCATTATAAAAACCTTCCACAGCTTTCCTGAAGAGAAGCTTGATAAAAGGTGCTTATTACATTTAATGGGGACGGAATAGTGACAGAAAAGCAAAATTTTATAGGCGAACTTCTGTTGAAGAGCAGCAACATTGACTACCCTGGAAAAGCTTTTTATTTTTTCCAGGTCAAGGATGTTCTTCCGGATCAAAGAACTGAATGAAAGTTTGAACCACCAGAAAAATCGTGAAAAGAAATGGAGAAAATTTTTGGCTTAGACTAAGTCATTTCCATGTACTATTATACCCCCAGCTTACTGCAAAAAGATGATAACTCCATTTTTCTACTTTTCGACTTGCGTACATTTTCAAACTTGCATGTAGTTAGTATTTAGGATGTTCTGTGAAATAAGGATGAATAATGTAGTGCAGTATTAACGTCATGAGCATGTTAATCCTGCTCCACAGAACATACTAAAATACAGGTAATGTAGAAAAATCTTGTTTTTACACTAAAGCGACGATACACACTCTATTGTGGAGCTAGAAAGCTGTTTAAGCTATAGCCTGTGAGATAGGAATTACAAGGTTGAAATCTTTTATTAAAATCTGGCATTTTGTTTTGTTTAAAATTTTAATGTATCTAGTGTCACTTGCACCGCTAAGACGAATCCAACGACACTTCATAATAATAATAATAATGTTTATTGTCACAAAATACAAGTAAATATCAAATATTGTGCACAATAAACATAAAGCACCCAGAAAAAGTTTGCACTTGTGTTTGGGTTTGTACAAAATAAAAACTAATAGTACAGTCAGTGTATGAAAAAAAAATATAATATGTGAAAATCCGTCCAGCCGCTTGGCCTGTAGATGAAAATATGCACGTTATCCATATCAATCCAAATGATAATCACTCTTCGCGTGACCTCATGCGCGCCGGTGGACGAAAATCGAACAGCGGGGCATCCGGCACTGGGTCGAGTCAACCAGTATTTCTCCACTTGCTTCTCAAATTTAATGTTTTGTGTTTCTATCATTCATTAGCTTGACAACCGACAATACATGTTTTGTGACTGACATTTTGATTTGTGATTTTGATCTTGATGTCAATCGTCATGGTGGAATGGTGGATGTTGTGAAATTTGAATAATTATTAGGAAAAACTTTTTTCAGATGGAATATTTTGCTAAAGATGAATAGTTAATTGTTCTACAAGTGATCAAGTATAATTCTTTAACTAGGTAAGTTTGCCAAAGTTCAATAATCGCTGAAAGTTTTTCGGTAGATGACGGGAAACGGCGAGTCATACAATATGGCGCCTCGATTATGGCGTTTCCCGGAAAGTTTCTATGGACACCACTTGTGAGCTGATTTTTTTATTTTTAGATTGTGCTTATTTTATTCCTTAAATATAAGCAAGTGACTGTATTTCTTCTGCACACGAGTGTTTACCAGCCCCGAAATAACGCTGTCCGGAGGCAAGGGCGTCACACGCCATCACTTGTCAGCTTAGAAAACGAGAACTAACCTATCGCTGTTCACGTTCATCTAGGTACCATTTCATCAGTTGAGATTCTTTGAAGGGGTTCCTTAATTGCTACTGGCAAAATTTAGTTTAGTAAGTAATGATTCAATATCTACTTATGTATGTCTAGAGCTGTTTGCTGCAGCTGTGATATGTTGATATATGCATATTTGCCCCATTCTCAATGGATTTTTCTCTTCAGCTCAGTTAATAGTCTGTGCTCAACTATTTAAAAATCCAACTTTTACTGGATCCTTGCAAACCTAAGGCAGAACCATTATTGGTTCTGCATAGAGTTCTATGTCAAGTTAAGGTTTGCATGAATCTAGCATTACTTGTAAATCTAAACTTAAAAATGAAAATTTGGCATATATGGTAATTTGATAATCCTGTCAATTTTGCACTTGAAGATAGTTTGATGTGGTGACTAGGGATTTGTCACAATCGGGGATCAAACAAGCCAAAGATAATTTTTTGATGGAAAAGCAAGACAAACAAAATTCACCTGATATGTTTTAATGGCTAAAAAATCGGAAATATATCCTTATACATACTCAGTTTTATTTTTCCATCAGAGAAGAACCTTGTTTCATACAAAGTAAAAAGCTGGAGGTGTTTAAAGGCTGATGGGACAAATAAAATTTGGTAAGTGCCACATATGTTCAACACTTACTTTATCTGGCAGTCTGGTCACCCATGTTTGGTTTAATGTCTAAGACAAAAAAAATTATAAATCATGTAAGTGGAAACTAAAAAGAAGAATATAAGCTATGAAGTTTGTTATACTTAGTGTGGCAGATATTTCAAACTATTTTAGTAATTGATATTTCTAAATCACGACTGTTACCAAATACCATGAAAAAGTGTGACATGAGCATGACTTGGCAAACTAGTGCTTTATACCAACTAGAGGGTAAGGTTGAAAATCATATACTACTGTAGGATTACCACATGGCCTGCAAGCTATATTTATTTATGTAATATGTAATAAGGAGTGGAAAATGTCCAATGTAACTGTCCTTATACAACAAGTCATGACTAAATATTAGAGTAATAATAATAATCTTTATAATCACAGAAAAAATACTCAAGTATTCATAGACATGTTAGTAATGAAAAAAAGTATACCATTGTAGACATAAAAGTACACTAACTATAATAAACTCAATATACAAAAAGACACTAATATAATTTTACAAAGTTGAGGAAAGTGTTAAGAACATTATTAAATTATGCATTCAATTTAGTCAGGAAGGCCTGCCTGTCCCTTGCCAAAGCATAATATTCCTCAAAACTGTAAATACAGGCCCTAGTTAATACAGGTTTCAATTTACATTTAAATCTGCTCAGCTGAAGGGATCTCAACTCATCTGGCAGTCCATTGTATATTTTGATTTCTTCACTGTTGGTTCTAGCCAATCTATTTGTTGGAAGTACCAGTTTATTGCAATTCCTTGTGTTGTATGAGTAAAAATCTGCACACCTAAAAAAATCTGAAATATATTTTGTGTAATGAATGAATTAATTTTGTCATTGAGCCATATCTAGCTTGAGACAGTTTTTAAACTTCATTATAGTTGCATTTACTGCATTCTCGCCTACACGATCCCAACTGTTGAATGCTCAGTTTTGGTAAAGGATTTCTCCTTAGTAGTTTGGCTCACCTTTCCTTACATAATTTATTTTTATGCCCCCTAACTTGATCATTGATTTTGGGTCTTGTTACATATGGTAAATATTTTCAACTGCTAATTAGTCACTCCACTCTGAACCCTTTCTAGTATCTCTGTCTTTTGCTCTCAATAAGCAGCACATGTTAGATCATGTTAAATACTATTTTTATAATATTTTAATGTTTTTTGTTGAATATTCCTATAAAATGCGTTTTATTGTTAGGAAATAAATAAATATGCATCTTAGCCAAATTTCACTAGAAATGTTATTATGATGGCAGATCAGCAGAACTCGCCTATCATTATGCGAAAATCGTGTTCAGGTCACGCTTTAAATCACTGATAACAAAAACTAACAGTATCAGACATCACATATATTAAAAAATAATGATATGGAGGATCTCTAGGGTTTTAGTACAAATTAATCTTGAAAGAGATGTTTATTACTGTGATGCTAATATAAAATAATCATTTTTTCATAAAATACCTAATAAAGATTAATTATATTTATATATTGGCGGACAGATGGTAAATACAGTTCATCCATGCCAACAGGTAGGGATGCAACATCGTTTTGAAAAACATTGATGTTCGCATTAAAAACATCGATATGCAAAAATTCATATTCATAAGACCAATATATCAATGTTTTTGCTAATGTTTAATTTTTTTATTAGGGTGCATCATTTATTCCCTGGCTTTGAAAGAACACATTTTATTACAAGAACATATTTATTATTTTCAATTTAACATTCTTGAAACAGAGTTAACGGAAAAGAAGCTTAGATAATCTAGTCCCTGAAAGCCTATTTCTTTCTTGAATAATGGTTGCTCCAGCTTACGAGAACAATCGCTCACTTGGGACAGATCTGGCAATGATGGGAAGGTGTATCATTGCTACTTTGGCAAGTTTTGGAAATAGAGATTTCATATCGTCCCAAATTTCAGTGGCGTCTCTCTTTATTAGTGTAACAGGAAATGAAAGGTACATCTGAATCTCAATTTCGCTGATGGAGCCTGGTATAGCTGTAGCAGATGATTTACGTTTCATGTTTTTATGTGTTACCTGCCTATGGTATTTCCATTGCAGGTGCAGCCGAGCTGTTCTTGTACATATTTATTTAAGTAACTAAATACTTTACTTTTGTTCACGAAATCTTTAAAATGCATGAATTTTAAATCTGGGGTCAAGAGTAGTTGAGATAGCAAGGATTGAGGAATGCTCTAGGCTATGAAATCTTCTTGCTAGTTGTTTGTTTAATTCTACTTTAAATTGTAGTATTATCTCATTTTTAGGCTTTATATTCTCCACTACTTCACGGACGCAGCTACCTAGCGGAATTACTTTGCTAACGATTACGTAACTGCCTCCAGAAAACTCTTGTCAATTTCTCAAAAGAGCATAGTTATTCTATCATTTCTTTGATGCAATCTAGTTCACTGCTCCGGGCCATTGGTGGAGCTTCAGGTCGAGTCAAAGGTATTGCTCCTACAATGGACACCAACTCCATGAATCGTTAGAGCATATAAAAATAAGAATTCCATCTTGTGCGAACATCGAGTATTTGACCTTCTTTCAGTCCCAACTCTATTTTTCTCTTCCTAATTCGTCACTTGCATTGACGCTCCTTTTTATATATCTTACTATATCCCTTTGTTTATAGTTAATAGTATGGGCAAAGCAGGGAATAATTTATTTTCTTCAAACATTTTCCGATTGACCTTCATAACATTGTCTGTAATAGCAGCTGAAACTTTCTCTATAGAAACATTCCACTCAGCTAAAATATTGGTGAGTTTTTGAGTAATGTATAGCGACGTATGGCTTTGGGTCAACTCAAAAACGCCTAAGGTTCCACTGAGAAGTTGAGACTTATCCAAAAAATGAATAGTAATCCCTATAAATGGCTTATTTTGCATTGTTCCAGTCCAAATATCGTAAATGATGGAATAGCTTTCTGCGTTTTTTATGTGGCTCTTACTGTCTCTCGACTTGGCACTTTGTACAGTGGACACGCTTCTCTCATTAGTTGTTTAAAGCCTTTACCTTCTACTGTGGAAAATGGTTTATTATCAATGATTATGAAATTCGTAATGGCCTCAGTTATTTTCTTTGATTTTGCACCTTCTTTTGCAGTTATGCTTTTGATGTTGTTTATGAAATCATCAACATTTGACTGAACAGTTTTCTAAGAACCAATAACAATGTCTAACGATGTATTGACAACCGAATTTTGTGAGGAAGGTGAAGGTAAATCTTCAGCAGTGCTTGAACTGATTGAAGGTTTGTTAACATCGATGTTTGAAAGATCAACATTATGATTACTGGCACTTGCAGTTGCGTCATCTGTACACATGCGACTAGTGATGTTAAAGACGTTTTTTTCTTTTTGTGTACATGAAAGTGGTCCCATTGCTGGAAATGTATATTTTCTAAATGACCACGAAGATTTGTTGTATTCCCCAAAGTTTTAAGGCTCTTGTTGCGTATATTGCAAATAGCCTCCATATTTATATGTAAAGAAACAAAAATAATCTATATATTTACAAGTAATTAAAAAATACATTTTATTTAAAAAAAAGGTCCATCCGAACGAAGTCGCGCACAACCAGCTTGTTTGTAATTAGTATGTCAGATGCAAAACTTATTGCTTACACATAGTTACTTAAAAGAAGGAATTTGAATAGAATGAAAATAATAAATATATGATGGTAAATTGAAACATAACAAAATTATTCTAAACAATGAACTAGGCAAATAATGATATCAACACCAACTGCAATATTAGAAACCCTTTTCACAAGCTATAAATTTTTCTCCATTTCGTTTAACCTCAAAATGACACACTCAGCACGTTTGCACGTATACCCTATTTCACGAGTATCCATCACGGTATAGAAACAAAAACGTCACAAACAGGTTTTACTAGATTTATACTCGATTCATTATTGCCAATGTTGCAGTCCAACACAAAAATGACACTCGCTGATTAGCTGTTCACCTCAGTAGGCATCAAAGCATGATGGATACTCATGAAATACTTCACTGAAATCTGACAAAAAAACAAACCACTATAACCTAACCTAACTACTTTATAATATAAAATAATACGAGTAGAGTACTCACCCAATCAGGAAATCCAAAATGTGTAGAGGTAGTAAAAAAATCAAATGATATCAACGTGTACCGACATATCAACAAAGCAATACGAGTGAATGTCTCAGTGTTTCCGAAGTTCCGAACACGACTGAAAAACGATATCGATGTTTGTGAATGAAATGAACGATGTATCGACGATACATCGCTCTCAAAATCATCGATGTTTATGACCGATGCATCGATGTTTTACAAACATCGATGTATCGTTTGCATCCCTAAACACAGTCTGCATTGTTCAGTAGATATTCTTGGGGAAAATCTTCCATCAAGGATTGATCACTTTGTACAGAATTGTACGGTTCTTTGATAAAAATGTAAAAGGTTAGAAACATATTGCTTTTCAGTTTAATATGCTTTTGAAGCACATTTTACATTCTTATTGCAAAGCTTTGTTTAATTTTTATACATAACAGTCATACAATATGCTCAATTGAAACTTGACAAGGTTAGCTCAATACCACTTTTCACACGTGCTTTTATGTATAATAAAAAAGTACACCCCTTTGACTAATATCTTTTAGCTAATAAAGGCTGTTTATGTTTCAGAAATAATTGTTTTCTGATTCATTCTATTTCTTATTTTATTCTGATTATGAAATAGTTGACAGGACAATAAAAATAACATGTTTTCAACAATTGATTCAGAACTGTATACCCATTGAGAACCTTGTATAAGAAATGATACCTAATATAGGTTTTGAAAAGAAAAGTGTTAAGTGGTGCTTCATATTTGAGGGAAAGCCCTTTTATGCTTGGATATTTTGCTGTGTCGAATGTCGTAGAGTTTTTGAGAGGCAGTTGGCATCATGTTTACCGCAAAAACTCATGGGGCTGCAAATAATACTGCACTCGCGAATCCAGCGCCATTAGTGACTAGTGGCAACTTGTTGATACAGGTGAAACTCATCAATTCTACGAATTGATTGAAATGAGCGTAGTTCTACCAAACCTTCCTTTTAAAATCTAAACAACCTCCAATCAAGGTCGCGAAAGCAGCTTTCAAGGGCTACCAACATCAAAAACTAATCCTGCAGATACCAAACGTCAAATATTTGTTCATACCTATTTTCAAACATGCCGGCATGTTTCAAGTGAAAGTAGAACTTACACTAGAGTGAACTATACATTTGAAACTTCCTGTGGTTGCTTGCTGATGAAATCTCATGTTTCAGTGACTATCAAATGAAACCACAGATCTCCAATGATGATTTACTAACTTTTTGGTCACTTTGGTGACCTTTTTCAAATAATTTCATAAATGGCCATATAAAAAATTTTAGTTTTGAAAAAGGCTATCAAGACGGCCTAAATGTTAGTAAATCTTCATTCTGTATAAGTAGTTTTATTCGCCAGCCATTGAAACATTTAGATATATACTAGTTTTATCTACTCACTCCATATCCAAAAAGTAAAGATAACTGTCAAAACTTGATAAAGTTGCCTGAATTAACAAAAAGAAAAAAGTGAGAAGTCAGACCAGATTATTCGCAGATGGAGACAAACCATAAAGATGAGAAGGTAAGTGGCTGATACAGTTACAACCCAATTTTTAAACATCCTTCAAGAAGAAATGCGTACTAAGTCTACATAAAAATAATTTTTAATCAGTGTGATTTCTTTATCTACTTGCCAATTCTAATTA